GACTTGGGCCATCCTCTACTGCTTTCCCAGGGCATAGTAGAGAGCTAGTTCTGAAGAGGAGCAGCCTGGACTTGAACCGGTTCCCATATGGGATGCTGGCGCGTCAGGCCAGGGTGTTAACCTGCTGTGCCACAGCACTGGGCCCTGGAATTAATAATGAAACATAAAATATGAGTATAAGTCAAGAGTTCACATTTAGAACCAAGACATAAAGCTTGAGCTGTAACCCAGCCCAGGGGCTTGAGTTGTGAATGTGAATAACTCATCCGGTGTACACACATAGATAGCCTACACCCGCAAAGTTACAGGGGAAGGACACATAGGCACAGACACTCACACACTCAAATGTACAATCACATTCACCCCCACACACCACATGCAGCCACCCAGATACTCACACATTTTCAGTCATACGCTTACACTGATGCCCACAGGAGGTACACATTCATATCAAAACATACAATGGGCTGGTGCCATGGCTCCCTAGGCTATTCCTTCGCCTGCAGCGCTGGTACCCCGGGTTCTAGTTCTGGTTGGGGCAGCAGATTTTGTCCCAGTTGCTCCTCTTCTAGTCCAGCTCTCTGCTGTGGCCTCGGAAGGCAGTGGAGGATGGCCCAAGTAGTTGGGCCCCGCACCCATATGGGAGACCAGGAGAAACACCTAGTTCCTGGCTTCAGTCCAAAAAAAAAAAAAAAAAGAAACATACAATGACAGACAGTCATGTAGTCACACTCTGGCTCCCAAATCCCACTCACCCACCATGAATGAGTACAACCAAATGAGCTGCTCCTATGTGAAATAACAGTGCTGGGGCCAGTGCAGTGGCATAGCAAGTAAATACACCACATGCAGTGCCGGCATCCCATGGGGGCGTGGGTTCAAGTATCGGCTGCTCCGCTTATGCTCCAGCTCTCTGCTGCTGCTTGGTCAAGTCCTTGGGCCCCTGCACCCATGTGGGAGCCCTGGAAGAGGCTCCTGGCTTCTGATTGGCCCAGCTCTGGCCATTGAGGCCAATTGGAGAGTGAACCAGCAGATGGAAGGCCTCTCTTTCTCTCTTTCTCTCTCTCTCCGCCTCTGACTCTGCCTCTCTGTAACTCTGCCTTTCAAATAAATAAATAAATCTTAAAAAAACACCAGTGCTAATCACAGTCCTCTGGCTTCCTGAAAACGGAGGTATCTCTGTCATCAGTAGTCCTTCCTACACTGCCACGGCCCCCAGGGTGTTCTTCACAGCGTGTGACACAGGGGAGTGAGTGTTGTCACTTTAGGTGGAGGTGCATGTGGGGAAAGCTGGAGTGTTTGGAGAGATGAAAGCATGCAAGAGAGTGACAGAGAAGAGAAAAAAAATCAGGGAAAGGGGTGCTCGGGTTTGGATTTCAGTTTGAGCAAGGGTCCATGTGTTAGAGGCTTGGTCCCTGGGTGGCATTATTTGGTGGTGGTGTATCCTTTAGAAGGTGGGGTCCAGGGGCCAGCACTGTGGTGTAACTGGTAAAGCTGCCAGCTGTGGTGCTGGCATCCCATATGGGCACTGGTCTGAGTCCCAGTTGCTATACTTTTTTTTTTAAAAGTATTTTTTATTTGAAAGGCAGAGTTACAGAGAGGCAGAGGCAGAGAAAGAGAGGGTTCTTCCATCTGCTGGTTCACTCTCCAGATGGCTGCAATGGCCAGAGCTGTGCCAATCCAAAGCCAGGAGCTGGGAGATTCTTCCAGGTCTCCCATGCAGGTGCAGTGATCCAAGGACTTGGGCCATCTTCTACTACTTTCCCAGGCCATAGCAGAGAGCTGGTTGGAAGTGGAGCATCAGGGACTTGAACTGGCACCCATATGGGATGCTGGTGTTGCAGGCGGTGGCTTAACCTGCTGCACCACAGTGCCAGCCCCTGCTCCATTTCTGATCCAGCTTTCTGCTATGGCCTGGGAAGGCAATGGACGACCACTCAAGTCCTTGGGCTCCTGCACCCATGTGGGAGACTCTGAGGAAACTCCTGGCTCCTGGCTTTGGATACACACAGCTCTGGCAATTGAAGCCACTTGGGAATGACCTAGTGGGTAGAAGACTTTCTCTCTCTCTTTCTGTGAGGGTGTATGTGTGTGTGTGTGTTTGTGTTTGCCTCTCTGATATTCTGCCTTTCAAATAAAGAAATAAACATTTTTTGATTTTTGATTTTTTTATTTTTTTTACAGGCAGAATGGACAGTGAGAGAGAGAGAGACAGAGAGAAAGGTCTTCCTTTGCCGTTGGTTCACCCTCCAATGGCCGCCACGGCCAGCGCGCTGCGACCAGTGCACCGCGCTGATCCGATGGCAGGAGCCAGGAGCCAGGTGCTTTTCCTGGTCTCCCATGGGGTGCAGGGCCCAAGCACTTGGGCCATCCTACACTGCCTTCCCGGGCCACAGCAGAGAGCTGGCCTGGAAGAGGGGCAACCGGGACAGAATCCGGTGCCCCAACCGGGACTAGAACCCATTGTGCTGGCGCCGCTAGGCGGAGGATTAGCCTAGTGAGCCACGGCGCTGGCCTAGAAATAAACATTTTTTTTAAAACAGTGGGGCCCTGTGGCAGTCCTTAAGCTATTAGGGGGTGCCCTCAGAATTCTGTTCACTTGTGATTTCTTGGGTTAGATTTTTGATGGAAGCCTGGGTTTGGGCCCACACTCCTCTGTTCTTGGTTCAGCAGAGGGTCACTCAGTCTAGTAGGTGCTTCTACCGTGGCCTCTTTTTGCCCTTACTGAAAGGCTGAGGCAATGGGGCTGCCTGCTGGCAGGCCTGACCCCCTGCCTCAAAGTGGGAACTAAACAATGTGTTACCCTTCAGAAAGCCAGCAACCTTGTAATTTGCTGTAGGAACCTACTAATGAAGGCGTCACGGGGATGTGATGCCCCTGCATGGAGACCCTGGGGGCGTGAAGTCCTGGACATGGCAGAGGAAAAGGGGTGGCAGAGACTTTTATTCCAAGAGCTGCTGTAACAGGTCCCCACACCCTGGGTAACTTGAAGCAACACAAACTTATTTCTGCACAATTCTGGAGGCTGGAGTCTGAGTTCCAACACTGCCAATAACACAAGACAACCTGAGAACAGATTGGAGACCTAACTTAGGCTAACCCAAAACCAGCTACTTACTATGCATGCTTTGGATGCCCTTCAATCCCTGCTCTGGAGCCAGCCTCCTCTACTGCCGCCAGTCCTGCCTCATACTTCAGGCCCACAACCACTGGGGTGCATATAGCTCAGCTGTCCCAGAATCTGCACCAGCAATTGCTCCCTCTGCTTCTAGGAGCCTCAGGCAGTCTAGACTCTCTAAAATATACAGTTTCTTAGGGGTTTTTGAACCGACGAACATTTGAGGTGAGAGGTCTGCTAATGTCCTGTTTGCTCATTGCAGAACATTCTTAGGGACCTAAGTCCCACACTGTACTCTGCACTGTGTAGGATTATGTGTCAGGTAAAGATTAACTACAAGTTCACTGCGAGCATCCAGCAACTCTTAGAGCAAGAAAAGTATCTGACTGTCCAAGTGAAGGAACTTGAAACTAATGAATTTACTACAGCCCCTGACCAAAAAAGCAGAACTTGCTAGAAGAAAATGTTAGTGCTTTATGTGATGCTGTGGCTAAGAAAGCAGGTACTGTGGAAGCTCAGGTTAAATGATTACACAAGATCACTATAACCATAAACTCAAGGCCCAACAAGACAAACTTGATAAAATAAATAAGTAATTAGATGAATGTACTTCTGCTACTACAAAAGTCCAAGTAGCATTCAAGATGGCTGACAGAAATCTTTAAAAAGCACAAGAATCTGTGATTAGTACAGAGAAAGAAATAAAAGATACTGAGAAAGAAGTAGAAGACCTAACAGCAGAGCTAAAAAGTCTTGAGGATAAAGCAACAGAGGTCATAAGAAATACAAACGCAACAGAGATCTCAAAAATACCATTGAGGGGGTGGCACTGAGTAGTAGGTAAAGCTGCCACCTGCAGTGTCAGCATCCCATGTGGGTGCTGGTTCGAGTCCTGGGTGCTCCACTTCTGATCCAGCTCTCTGCTATGGCCTGGGAAAGCAGTGAAAGATGGCCCAAGTTTTTGGGTCCTTGCACCCACATGAGAGACCGGAAGAAGCTCCTGGCTCCTGGCTTTGGATTGGTGCAGCTCTGGCCATTGCTGGCAATTAGAGAGAGAACCAGTGGGTGGAAGACTTTTCTCTACCCCTGCCTCTCCTCTCTGTGTAACTTTGACTTTCAAATAAATAAATAAATCTTAAAAAATCATTGTATCCCATAAAAGATAATCCTGTTGAAGAAGTTTCAGTTTGAGCTAAGAAGATTTTGAAGCAATCAAGAATAGAGATTCCATAACAAGTCAGATTTCACTTTTGGTAGCCCAGTGTCATGAAATGAAACCAAACCTTGGTGCCATTGCAGAATATAAAAAGAAGGAATAATTGGACAAAATTACTTATGAAAGAAATAATTTTAGACAAGCATATGAAGATCTGCGGAAACACAGGCTTAATAAATTTATGGCAGACTTTTATATAGTAACAAATACAAGAGAATTACCAGATGCTTACCTTGGGAGGGGAAGCTGAACTGGAGCTTAGAGACAGCTTGGATCCTTTCTCTGAAGGAATCCTGTGCAGTGTTCCACCACCTAAGGAAAGTTGGAAGATCTTCAACCATTCAGCAGGAGAGAAAACACTTCGTTCCTTGGCTTTAGAGTTTGCTTTCCATCATTACAAACCCACTCCCCTTTACTTCATGGATGAAACTGATGCAGCCTTTGATTTTAAAAATGTGTCCATTGTTGCATTGTATATATGTGAACAAAAATGCCCAGTTCATCATAATTTCTCTTTGAAACCACATGTTTGAGATTTTGGATAGACTTATTGGAATTTACAGGACATAAAATATAACAAAAAGTGTTGCTGTCAACCCAAAAGAAATTGCATCTAAAGGACTGTGTTGAATTTGTTCCTACTAAAGACTTCCAATTAAGCTGGGATACATTTAGTATATTATATTGATTTTCTATTGTAGTGAATTATATAAAAATACATATTCCTAAACTGCGAACATGGCGCTGCGAGTGGTGTGGAGCGTGCGGGCCGCGACTTGTAGGCTGCTCACGGCCTCTGCGCCCGCTGCGCCCTGCTCGCCTCTGCCCTGGTGGCTGTGGGCGGGCGCCGTTCCGACGCTGGGCACTGGACCCGCTCTGATCTCGGTGCGTAAACTCACAGAGAAACATGAATGGATAACAACAGAAAATGGTAGTGGAACAGTGGGAATCAGCAATTTTGCACAGGAAGCTTTGGGAGATGTTGTTTATTGCAGTCTGCCTGAAGTTGGGACAAAATTGAAAAAACAAGATGAATTTGGTGCCTTGGAAAGTGTGAAAGCTGCTAGCGAACTCTATTCTCCTCTATCAGAAGTAACTGAAATTAAAGAAGCCCTTGCAGAAAACCCAGGACTTATCCACAAATCTTGTTATGAAGATGGTTGGCTGATCAAGATGACGCTGAGTAACCCTTCAGAACTAGATGAACTAATGAGTGAAGAAGCCTATGAGAAATACATAAAATCTATTGAGAAATTAAAGTGGAACCCTTACATGAACTAGTATGGAATAACTGATTCCAGCACAGTTTTCTCTTTTTTTTCGTGTTTTTTTTTTTTAACTTTTATTTAATGAATATAAATTTCCAAAGTACTGCTTATGGATTACAATGGCTTCCCCCCATAACGTCCCTCCCACCCACAACCCTCCCATTTCCCATTCCCTCTCCCCTTCCATTCATATCAAGATTCATTTTCGTGTCTCTTTATATACAGAAGATCAGTTTAGCATACATTAAGTAAAGATTTCAACAGTTTGCTCCCACACAGAAACATAAAGTGAAAAATACTATCTGAGTAATAGTTGTAGCATTAAATCTCAATGTACAGCACACTAAGGACAAAGATCCTACATGAGGAGTAAGTGCACAGTGACTCCTGTTGTTGACTTAACAAATTGACACTCTTGTTTATAGCATCAGTAATCACCCTAGGCTCTTGTCATGAGCTGCCAAGGCTATGGAAGCCCCCTGAGTTCACCGACTCTGATAATTTTTAGACAAGGCCATGGTCAAAGTGGAAGTTCTCTCCTCCCTTCAGAGAAGGGTACCTCCTTCTTTGATGACCTGTTCTTTCCACTGGGATCTCACTCACAGAGATCTTTCATTTAGGTTTTTTTTTTTTTTCAGAGTGTGTTGGCTTTCCATGCCTGAAATACTCTCATGGGCTTTTCAGCTGGATCCGCATGCCTTAAGGGCTGATTCTGAGGCCAGAGTGCTGTTTAGGACATCTGCCATTCTATGGGTTTGCTGTGTATCTCACTTCCCATGTTGGATCATTCTCTCCCTTTTTGATTCTATCAGCTAGTAATTGCAGACACTATTCTTGTTTCTGTGATCCCTTTGGTTCTTAGTCCTATCATTATGATCAATTGTGAACTGAAATTGATCACTGGGACTAGTGAAATGTCATTGGTACATGCCACCTTGATGGGATTAAATTGGAATCCCCTGGTATGTTTCTAACTCTGTCGTTTGAGGTAAGTCAGCTTGAGCATGTCCTGAATTGCACATCTCTTCCCTCTCTTATTCCCACTCTTATATTTAACAGTGATTACTTTTCAGTTAAGTTTCAGCACTTAAGAAGAATTGTGTATTGATTACAGTATTCAACCAAAAGTATTAAGTAGAACAAACAAAAAAATACTAAGAGGGATAACATATCAAGTTGTCATCAACAGTCAGGGTGAGGGCTGATCAAGTCACCGTTTCTCATAGTGTTCATTTCACTTTAACAGGTTTCCTTTTTGGTGCTCAGTTAGTTGTCACCTATCAAGGAGAACAAGTGGTATTTGTCCCTTTGGGACTGGCTTATTTCACTCAGCATAATGTTTTCCAAATTCCTAACAGGGATCACTTTTCAGTTAAAATTTAAACACCTAAGAATAATTGTGTGTTAATTACAGAGTTCAACCAACAGTACTAGAACAAAAAAAATACTAAAATGGATAAAGTATTACATTGTACATCAACCATCAGGACAAGAGCTGATCAAGTCACTGTTTCTCATAATGTCCATTTCATTTCAACAAGTTTCCCCTTTGGTGCTCAGTTAGTTGTCACCAGTCAGGGAGAACATATGATATTTGTCCCTTTGGGACTGGCTTAATTCACTCAGCATGATGTTTTCCAAATTCCTCCATCTTGTTGCAAATGACCGGGTTTCGTTGTTTTTGACTGCTGTATAGTATTCTATAGAGTACATGTCCCATAATTTCTTTATCCGGTCTACTGTTGATGGGCATTTGGGTTGGTTCCAGGTCTTAGCTATTGTGAATTGAGCTGCAATAAACATTAATGTGCAGACAGCTTGTTTGTTTGCCAATTTCATTTCCTTTGGGTAAATTCCAAGGAGTGGGATGGCTGGGTTGAATGGTAGGGTGATATTCAGGTTTCTGAGGAATCTCCAAACTGACTTCCATAGTGGCTTAACCAATTTGCATTCCCACCAACAGTGGGTTAGTGTCCCTTTCCCCCCATATCCTCTCCAGCATCTATTGTTGGTAGATTTATGAATGTGAGCCATTCTAACTGGGGTGAGGTGAAACCTCATTGTGGTTTGGATTTGCATTTCCCTGATTGCTAGTGACCTTGAACATTTTATCATGTGCCTGTTGGCCATTTGGATTTCCTCTTTTGTAAAATGTCTGTTGAGGTCCTTGGCCCATCTCTTAAGTGGGTTGTTTGTTTTGATGTTGTGGAGTTTCTTGATTTCTTTGTAGATTCTGGTGATCAACCCTTTATCTGTTGCATAGTTTGCAAATATTTTTTCCCATTCTGTCGGTTGTCTCTTCACTTTCCTGACTGTTTCTTTTGCAGTACAGAAACTTCTCACTTTGATGCAATCCCAAATATTAATTTTGGCTTTGACTGCCTGTGCTTCTGGGGTGTTTTCCAAGAAGTCATTGCCGGTACCTATATCTTGCAGGGTTTTTCCAATGCTCTCTAATAATTTGATGGTGCCAGGTCATAGATTTAAGTCTTTAATCCATGTTGAGTGAATTTTTGTGTAAGGTGTAAGGCAGGGGTCTTGCTTCATGATTCTGCATGTGGAAATCCAATTTTCCCAGCACCATTTATTGAATAGACTGTCCTTACTCCAGGGATTGGTTTTGGATCCTTGATCAAATATGAGTTGACTGTAGATGTTTTGATTGATTTCTGGTGTTTCAATTCTGTTCCATTGGTCTATCCATCTGTTTCTGTACCAGTACCATGCTGTTTTGATTACAACTGCCCTGTAGTATGTCCTGAAATCTGGTATTGTGATGCCTCCAGCTTTGTTTTTGTTGTACAAGATTGCATTAGCTATTCGAGGTCTCTTGTGCCTCCATATGAATTTCAGCATCATTTTTTCCAGATCTGAGCAGAAGGTCTTCGGTATCTTGATTGGTATTGCATTGAATCTATAAATTGCTTTTGGGAGAATGGACATTTTGATGATATTGATTCTTCCAATCCATGAGCATGGAAGATTTTTCCATTTCTTGGTATCCTCTTCTGTTTCTTTCTTTAAGGTTTTGTAATTTTCATTGTAGAGATCTTTAACGTCCTTGGTTAAGTTTATTCCAAGGTATTTGATTGTTTTTGTAGCTATTGTGAATGGGATTGATCTTAGAAGTTCTTCCTCAGCCGTGGCATTGCCTGTGTGTACAAAGGCTGTTGATTTTTGTGCATTGATTTTATACCCTGCTCCTTTGCCAAAATCTTCTATGAGTTCCAATAATCTCTTAGTAGAGTTCTTTGGGTCCCCTAAATAAAGAATCATATCATCTGCAAAAAGGGATAGTTTGAGTTCTTCCTTCCCAATTTGTATCCCTTTAATTTCTTTTTCTTGCCTAATAGCTCTGGCTAGAACCTCCAGAACTATATTGAATAGCAGTGGTGAGAGTGGGCATCCCTGTCTGGTACCAGATCTCAGTGGAAATGCTTCCAACTTTTCCCCATTCAATAGGATGCTGGCCAAGGGTTTTACATAAATTGCTTTGATTGTATTAAGGAATGTTCCTTCCAAACCCAGTTTGCTTAGAGTTTTCATCATGAAAGGATGTTGTATTTTATCAAATGCTTTCTCTGCATCTATTGAGATAATCATATGGTTTTTCTTCTGCAGTCTGTTAATGTGGTGAATCACATTGATTGATTTGCGAATGTTGAACCATCCCTGCATACCAGGGATAAATCCCACTTGGTCTGGGTGGATGATCTTTCTGATGTTTTGTTGCATTCTATTGGCGAGAATTTTATTGAGGATTTTTGCATCTATGTTCATCAGGGATATTGTTCTGTAATTCTCTTTCAATGCTGCATGTTTTTCCGGCTTAGGAATTAAGGTGATGCTGGCTTCATAGAAAGAATTTGTGAGGATTCCCTCTTTTTCGATTGTTCTGAATAGTTTGAGAAGAATTGGAGTCAGTTCTTCTTGAAATGTCTGGTAGAATTCAGCAGTGAATCCATCTGGTCCTGGGCTTTTCTTTGTTGGGAGGGCCTTTATTACTGTTTCAATTTCTGTCTCAGTTATGGGTCTGTTTAGGTTTTTTATGTCTTCCTGGTTCAATTTAGGTAGGTTGCATGTGTCCAGGAATCTATCCATTTCTGATAGGTTTCCCTGTTTGCTGGCATACAAGTCCTTGTAGTAATTTCTGATGATTCTTTTTATTTCTGTGGTGTCTGTTGTTATGTTTCCTTTTTCATCTCTGATTTTATTGATTTGGGTCTTTTCTTTTTTTAGTTAGTTTGGCCAATGGGGTGTCAATTTTGTTTATTATTTCAAAAAACCAGCTCCTTGTTTGGCTGATTTTTTGTAATTTTTTTTTTTGGATTCAATCCTGTTGATTTCTACAGTTTTCTCTTAAATTAGTGGTGGACAGGACTTAAAATTGCAACTTTTAGCAATATTGATGGAAGAAATACTACTTTCAACTCTGCTACTGGAAGAAAATATACTCTAACTTTGTAATGATTGCAGATAAACTTAATATGCATCTTTTTCACAGTACCTTGTGATATTTATACTAGGCTCTAGGCACTGGTATTCAGAATCCATGAAGTGATCTGTGGTAAAAAGTAGTTTTACAAATAATGTAATTCAAGGATCACATTGTTATCTTAAGCCTTATGTAATATTGTAACTTGCTTATACTCATCCCTGGATTGGAGTCAAAATATGTAATGATCTTTCCATTGGAAGTAACTGGGAATACACAACAGTTTTTGTTAGTTGTACGGTGCCAGAGAAAGAACAATACTATTTTAATTTTTGCAATATACTGCATTTGCTGGTGCTGTTTTATGCAGTGAAGCAGCAGCTCTACAGCAAAATAAGAAACAGAAATAAAATTTCAACTTCCTCATATCATGTTTTGATGTTAATAGTTGATTAAGTGACTTGGCTAGTATCTATGAAGATGCTAATTTTAACTTATAGAAAGTTATGTTTTAAAAGAAAGTTTAAACTGTAACAATGAAAGGTTCCAAGAAATGTTTCCTTTTAGTTGCAAATTAA